AGGTCCATCCAGCCCAGTATCCTGTCTGCTGACAGTGGCCAATGCCAGGTGCCCCAGAGGGAGTGAACCTAACAGGTAATGATCAGTGATCTCTCTCCTGCAATCCATCTCCACCCTCTGGCAAACAGAGGCTAGGGACACCATTCCTTACCCATCCTGGCTAATAGCCATTAATGGACTTAACCTCAATGAATTTATCTAGTTCTCTTTTAAACCCTGTTATAGTCCTAGCCGTCACAACCTCCTCAAGCAAGGAGTTCCACAGGTTGACTGTGCGCTGAGTGAAGAAGAACTTCCTTTTATTTGTTTGAAACCTGCTGCCCATTAATTTCATTTGGTGGCCCCTAGTTCTTATGGGAACAAGTAAATAATTTTCCCTTATTCACTTTCTCCACACCACTCATGAGTTTATAGATCTCTATCATCTCCCCCCTTACTCTCCTCTTTTCCAAGCTGAAAAGTCCTAGCCTCTTTAATCTCTTCTCATATGGGACCCGTTCCAAACCTCTGATCATTTTAGTTGCCCTTCTCGGAACCTTTTCTAATGCCAGTATATCTTTTTTGAGATGAGGGGACCAAACCTGTACGCAGTATTCAAGATGTGGGCGTACCGTGGATTTATATAAGGGCAATAAGATATTCTCCGTCTTATTCTCTATCCCTTTTTTAATGATTCCTAACATCCCGTTCGCTTGTTTGACTGCCACTGCACACTGCGTGGACGTCTTCAGAGAACTATCCATGATGACTCCAAGATCTTTCTCCTAATTAGTTGTAGCTAAATTAGCCCCCATCATATTGTATGTATACTTGGGGTTATTTTTTCCAATGTGCATTACTTTACATGTATCCACATTACATTTCATTTGCCATTTTGTTGCCCAATCACTTAGATTTGTGAGATCTTTTTGAAGTTCTTCACAGTCTGCTTTGGTCTTAACTACCTTGAGCAGTTTAGGATCATCTGCAAACTTTGGCACCTCACTGTTTCCCCCTTTCTCCAGATCATTTATGAATAAGTTGAATAGGATTGGACCGAGGACTGACCCTTGGGGACCACCACTAGTTACCCCTCTCCATTCTGAAAATTTACCATTTATCCCTACCCTTTGTTCCCTGTCTTTTAACCAGTTCTCAATCCATGAAAGGATCTTCCCTTTTATCCCATGACAACTTAATTTACGTAAGAGCCTTTGGTGAGGGAACTTGTCAAAGGCTTTCTGGAAATCTAAGTACACTATGTCCACTGGATCCCCCTTGTCCACATGCTTGTTGACCCCCTCAAAGAACTCTAATAGATCAGTAAGACCTAATCTCCCTTTACAGAAACCATGTTGGCTTTTGCACAACAATTTATGTTCTTCTTTGTGTCTGACAATTTTATTCTTTACTATTGTTTCAATTAATTTGCCAGGTACTGACATTAGACTTACCTGTCTGCAGTTGCCCGGATCACCTCTAGAGCCCTTCTTAAATATTGGCGTTACATTCGCTATCTTCCAGTCACTGGGTGCAGAAGCTGATTTAAAGGACAGGTTACAAACCATAGTTAATAGTTCCGCAATTTCACATTTGAGTTCTTTCAGAACTCTTGGGTGCATGCCATCTGGTCCCAGTGACTTGTTACTGTTAAGTTTATCAATTAATTCCAAAACGTCCTCTAATGACACTTCAATCTGTGACAATTCCTCAGATTTGTCACCTACAAAGGACGGCTCAGGTTTGGGAATCTCCCTAACATCCTCAGCTATGAAGACTGAAGCAAAGAATTCATTTCATTTCTCTGTGATGACTTTACCGTCTTCAAGTGCTCCTTTTGTATCTCGATCGTCCAGGGCCCCACTGGTTGTTTAGCAGGCTACCTGCTTCTGGTGTACTTAAACATTTTGTTATTACCTTTTGAGTTTTTGGCTAGCTGTTCTTCAAACTCCTTTTTGGCTTTTCTTTTTATATTTTTACATTTAATTTGGCAGTGTTTATGCTCCTTTCTATTTACCTCACTAGGATCTGACTTCCACTTTTTAAAAGATGCCTTTTTCATCTCTCACTGCTTCTTTTACATGGTTGTTAAGCCCTGGTGGCTCTTTTTTAATTCTTTTACTGTGTTTTTTAATTTGAGGTATACATTTAAGTTGAGTCTCTATTATGGTGTCTTTGAAAAGTGTCCATGCAGCGTGCAGGGATTTCACTCTAGTCACTGGACCTTTTAATTTCTGTTTAACTAACCTGCTCATTTTTGCATAGTTCTGCTTTCTGAAATGCCACAGTGTTGGGCTGTTGAGGTGTTCTTCCAACCACAGGAATGTTAAATGTTGTTATATTATGGTCACTATTTCCAAGCGGTCCTGTTATAGTTACCCCTTGGACCAGATCCTGCGCTCCACTCAGGACTAGATCGAGAGTTGCCTCTCCCCTGGTGGGTTCCTGTCCCAGCTGCTCCAAGAAGCAGTCATTTAAAGGATCGAGAAATGTTGTCTCTGCATTTCGTCCTGAGGTGACCTGTGCCCAGTCCATATGGGGAGAATTGAAATCCCTCACTATTATTGAGTTCTTTATTTTGATAGCCTCTCTAATCTCCCTGAGCATTTCATCGTCACTTACGCTGTCCTGGTCAGGTGGTCGATAACTGATCCCTACTGTTATAGTCTTATTAGAGCCTGGGATTGCTATCCAGAGAGATTCTATGGAGCATGTGGATTCATTTAAGATTAAGAGTCCATCAAACTTGTAATCCCATCAAAAAATCAAGTTAGTTTGACAGGATGTTTTCTACAAACCCATATTGACTGGGATTAATTCCATGATCCTCCTTTAGTTCTGCATTAATTGAGTCCTGTGTCAGCCGCTCCGTTCTCTTGCCCAGGAACGGTGACAGGCTGACAGGCCTATAATTACCCAGCTCGTCCCATTTACCCTTTTTAAAACCTGTCGCAATATGAGCTTTCTTCCAGTCCTCTGGAACTTCCCCAGTGCTCCAGGACTTACAGAAAATCCGCATTAACTGTCCAGCAGCCAGCTTGTCAGCCAGCTCTTTTCAAACTCTTGGATGCAAGTTATCTGGACCTGCTGATTTTAAAATGTCTGACTTTAGTAACTTCTGTTCAACATTCTCTAGAGATACTGGTTTGTGGGTAGTACCAGCATGACTGAATGAAGCAAAGGTGGTAAAGGACTCCGAATGGAGGGTGCAAGACACCATCAGAAGGCGCTTTGCGCTAGTAACCGATATTACCAAACTGGCTGCTGGTTGTTTGGCTCATCGTGGGGGTGTACTGTTTTTTTCTAGGCTGGCCTGCAAGGAAACCTACGGGGTGCTGAAAGTTTTCTTGGGAAATGTGATCCATGATGCCGTCACTTGCCCTGGCCATGCTAAATGGAAGCCGATGATGGCCAGGGACATGGTTTATGCTCTGAAATGACTGGGTCGTACTTTCTAAGGATTCAGTGGCTAAGCCTTTCCCCTGCTTTACCTGTAAAGCCAAACCATCCAGAGAGAGGTGTGGCATGGAAGGCGTGTTATCCCCACAGGAGGAGTGTTCACAGGGTTTTCCACCAAATACAGAGCAGAAATATTTATAGAACTCCTCTCCCTTTTCTGCATGTTTATTGTGAATTCTACCATGTCCATCTAGTAATGGACCAATACCATTGTCAGGATTCTTTTGGTCCTAATATACTTCAACTCCTCCTTATTGTCCTTAACTCTGCGGGCCATAGATTTCTCCTTGTGTCCCTTTGCTTCCCTTACCAAGTTCTACAGTTCCTAGCTTCTGATTTATATTGATTACTATCAACTGCCCCTTTCTTCCATTTGTTGTGTAGTTTTTTAAAATGTATATAATATATATAGTTACCTTCACTTCCCCTCTGAACCAGGTTGGAGTCTTAACCAATGCAGCCTTCTTCCTTGCGTGTGGCTTTTTGAGCCTCCAGGACAGTGATCAGAAACCATTCCCAATGATCAGGCACGTTTCGGATTAGAATTCTTCCTTCCAGCTGATTGGCTCAGTGTCTGTCTCCCTGAGCTGGACTTGCCCCTGAGTTAACATGAATGCTGAGTTCTGGGGTCAGTCCCTCTTTCTCTGGCCAGGCCAGGCCTAATGTCTGATTCCCAGGGGCTGGATCAACGCTTTTGAAGTGAGGAAATTTCCATATCAGACAGTACTGGCCTGGCTGTTCAGAGTGTGCCCCCTGCTGGGGGCGTGCTGCGATGATGGCTCTGTGTGCCTGAGCCCCTCCTCTGCTGTAGGGTGCTGCCCTCCTGCAGTGCTGGCTGGCTCCGTCCGTGTACCACCCCCTCCTGGGAAGCACTGTGCTGGCACGGACTGCCTAGGAACGACCCTCCCATTGTCTGCGGTGCCCTGTGCTGCTGAACCCCCTGCGGGGGGCCCCAATGCAGGAGCAGGGCTCCCTGGCGCACTCACCATTGCCTCAAACTCTGGAGGGGCGCAGGGAGGCATGGCTGCAGCTCTGGGCTGTCGCGCTCCAGCTAAAGCTGGCCTAGGCTGCCCGGTCTGTGCCCACAGGAGAGCGCGGGCCTGGCCCTGGCGGCAGCTCTTCTGCCCAGGGCATCCTGGCCCAGCCGCCCCCGCCGGGGTGCAGAGGGTCCTGCTGCTCGCTCAGGCGCTGGAGGAAGCTGTTGGAGTGGGAAGGGGCCGGGAGTTGCTGCTGGGTCCGGGTCCCTCAGCGCTGCTGCTGGGTCCTTGCCATGCCCTTGGGACGCCGGCTGCTGTTGGCACTCAGGGCTCACTGCTCCAGCCTGCTGCCCACGCCCCCATATGTGCTGCCACTGGGGCTGTGCTCTGAGCCCCACAGGGGCACTCACCCTCCTCGTAACGCTGCTGCCCAGGGCCCTTGGCCTCGGGGCTGGGGGAAGATAGGAGCCAGCTGGGTTCTGTCCCCAGGCCAGGGGGACTGTGCTCGCTGCACCATGGGCATGCAGGTGGGGAGGGCAGGGCAGGGCAGGGCTGCCCCCTCTGACCTCCTTGTTCTGTTTGCAGGGCATGAACCCCGTGTCGTTCGGCTCCAGTGTTGCCCCGGAAGGAGGCCCCCCGCTGCCCCCCGCTGGGCTCCCGGATCACTTTGCCAGCCCCGTCGAGCGCCCCTCCCCGTCCTACAGCAACATGGAGGAAGTTGACTGAGGCGCTGCTGGGGGGGCCATTCTGTGGCTTTCCCCCTCCTGCCCTGGGCGGGGGTCCCTGCCCCTCAAGCCGGCCCTGCCATGGCCCCTTCTCAAGCACTTTCTGCTCAGTCCCGCAAGCTGCCCTGCTGGGTAACAGTTTCATTGGCTGCCAGGCGGGGGGGGGTAGGAGGGCCTGGGGCTCCTTGCTGGGGATCACCTGTCCTCAACCCTCAGCCTGAGGGCCAAATGGGGCCAGAACCTGCTGCTCCTTGGTGGGGCTGGGGCTCTTCCCCCTTCCTCAGGGCCTGGCAGCTCCCTGGCATGGTAGTTGGCAGGGTGGGTGTGGGGCAGCCTGGCCACTGCCCTCAAGGGCAGGCTCCTGCTGCTGGCCCGGGGCCTAGGCAGGGTCTGCCTAGGGAGGCTTTGCCCGCTCTCCACGGTGCCCATGCAGCAGTGGGAGCCTGGCACCGGGGAGGCGGGGGTTGCAAAACGGCCCTGCTGCAGTTCTGCCAGTCCAGGCTGGGCAGGGTAAGAGGAAGGCACGTGCCCCTGGGACAGCCTGACTGGGCACCTGCTCCGCCCCAAGCCCCGCAGCCCCTCCCCCAGGCGTGTGCCCCCCTCCCCATTCTCCTGTGCATTGGCCCCTTCTCTTCGGCCCTTGGCACCCGACTGCTGCTGTCTCCCTCGATTCTCCCCCAGGCAGAGCCGCTGCCCCCCAGCCGCTGCTCCCCCTCACTTTGTATAAAGTTGGTGTTTGTCTTGAGTCATTAAATTCTACTGAACTCTGCCTGGGGCTGTGGTGCCCATGTGTGGGGCGCTGGGCCCTGGCCGCCGAAGGGGGGTGCTGCCCTGGTCCTCTGCCAACCCGGAATCGCAGTGAAACACCCTCGTGCACTGCAACGGGCCAGGCCCGAGTCGGGCAGCAGAGGGCCGGGCGTGGGCGCAGCGATGGAGCCCTGCAGAGCCCTGCGGACCGTTTTCCCCGGGCTCTGGAGAGCAGCAGGAGTGGGGCTTGGGCTGGGATAGGGGCGGGAGGCTTGCAGGAAGAGTAAGGCTTGGGCTGGGATATAGTGGGGCAGGCCAGGAGTGCGCCCTGGCTGGGGGAGAGGGGTAGGCAGTGCTGGGCTCCAGGGTGTGAGGAGTGGGGCCGGGGTTGGGCTAGTGGGGGGGCAGGGCAGGAGGAGGGGGCTGGGCTAGTGGGTGCTTGCCCCCCACACTTTCACAGCTGCCACTGGGTCTTGGGGCCCGGGCACAGCGATGGCTCCAGCCAGGCTCTGTCAGTGGGGCACGGCGCCAGACCCCTACGGGTGGACCGGGCCAGGCCAGCCCCAGCTGCCGCCAGAGGTTCTTCCGCTTCGAGTGCTTCGGGGATTGTTTTGGAGCCCTCAGCTTGGGCTGGGGGAAGGGGGCAGGAGCCGAGGGCCAGGTCAGGGGCTGTGGCCCCTTCCATGAGCAGCCAGGGGCAGGAAGGGCTATGCACCCTGCGAGCAGCCCCGGGGCAGGGACGGCCTGGCCCGGCACCCATCACCCTGGCCTCGGGCCTGGTTCCGCCTCACCAGCCCTGAGGTGGAGGCTCATGGGATTCGCCAAGTCACACTGGGCACAGGGCAGGAAAAGGGGCTCCCCCTCCAAGTCACCTGGGGGGGGGGCCGGGCTGGGCTGTGATGTCCCTTCCGAGCCCCCCTGTGTAAATCGCCCCCACGCCGGGTCTGCTCCCTGCCAAGGGGGCCTGTCAGTGCAGGGGGCCCTGGTTGCTGCCCAGGTTTGCTCCAGCCCCCCTGTGGGCTGGCCACATGCTGGCCTCTGGCATCCCCAGCTGGGAGGGGTCAGGACCCATGGTGCCCAGGGCATCCCCTGCGGGTGGGGCTGCTGTATGAATTCGGGCACTGGACGGGGTGGGGTGGTGGGGTTGCCGGACTTGGTCCTGCCCAGGGCAGTGGGTGCTCGCAGGGCACTGAGCCAGGGGTCAATTCAGGACAAATTGCTAAGGGAGAGCGAGCCATCACCACCCCGTTGGTGGGGCCCCATGAACATCCCCATCCCCGAGCGGGAGATCTGGACCCACCAGCTGGATTTCATCATGTCCTGCATGGGCTTCGCCATGGGTCTGGGCAACACCTGGCGCTTCCCCTACCTATGCCACAAGAATGCAGATGTGGGGGGCAGGAGGAGGTGGAGAGCTGGGTATTTCTCCCAGCCGGGCAGGTCTGGGGGCTGCCCAGGCACCTGGTGTGGGAAGCGAGCAGTACCCCATGCACTGTAGGCCCATGCAGAAGGGGGTCCCTGGGTCCTTGCAGGGTTTGCACCCCACAGCTCTGAGCTCCCCTGCAAAGCTGGCCCCACGTGTGGCTCTAATCCTCACAGAGACCACTTAGCGCCTTTCGTCAGTTGATCTTGGAGCACCTCGCAATCGGCAGTGCCTGCGGCCTCCCACCCGTTCCCTGGGAGGGGAACTGAGGCACAGCGAGGCAAAGGGACTGGCCCACACTCACAGGAGTCAGGAGCATCTGCCACGTCTTAGGCCTGGATCCTAAGCCCCACACCAGTCTTCCCCACGCCCCACTGGCTGGTGGGCTCAGGACTCAAGCTCAGCAGCACGAGGCTGCCCCAGTCCTTCGATGGGAGACCCACGGAGAGCCGGGGGCTGCAGGGAGCAGTGGAGATGGTGGAAGCCATTAGGGGGTGTCCCTGGCAGTCATCGCTGAGCCTGAGGCCCCACTGCCATGCTGGGGGCCTGTGCTGCAGGAAGCGGGAGTCAGCAGGGGGCGCGCTCCCCTGGCAGGCAGGGCTGGCCCCATGGCGGTGCTAGGGGGGGCTGTGCTGCGGGGAGTGGGCAGCAGGGGGGCTCTCCCCTGGCAGGCAGGGCTGGCCCCATGGCGGTGCTAGGGGGTGCTGTGCTGCGGGGAGTGGGCAGCAGGGGGCGCTCTCCCCTGGCAGGCAGGGCTGGCCCCATGGCGGTGCTAGGGGGCGCTGTGTTGCGGGGAGCGGGGCAGCAGGGGGCGCTCTCCCCTGGCAGGCAGGGCTGGCCCCATGGCGGTGCTAGGGGGCGCTGTGCTGCGGGGAGTGGGCAGCAGGGGGCGCTCTCCCCTGGCAGGCAGGGCTGGCCCCATGGCGGTGCTAGGGGGCGCTGTGCTGCGCGGAGCGGGCAGCAGGGGGCGCTCTCCCCTGGCAGGCAGGGCTGGCCCCATGGCGGTGCTAGGGGGCGCTGTGCTGCGGGGAGAGGGGCGGGGGGCAGCAGGGGGCGCTCTCCCCTGGCAGGCAGGGCTGGCCCCATGGCGGTGCTAGGGGGCGCTGTGCTGCGGGGAGAGGGGCGGGGGCAGCAGGGGGCGCTCTCCCCTGGCAGGCAGGGCTGGCCCCATGGCGGTGCTAGGGGGCGCTGTGCTGCGGGGAGCGGGCAGCAGGGGGCGCTCTCCCCTGGCAGGCAGGGCTGGCCCCATGGCGGTGCTAGGGGGCGCTGTGCTGCGCGGAGCGGGCAGCAGGGGGCGCTCTCCCCTGGCAGGCAGGGCTGGCCCCATGGCGGTGCTAGGGGGCGCTGTGTTGCGGGGAGCGGGGCAACAGGGGGCGCTCTCCCCTGGCTAGCAGGGCTGGCCCCATGGCGGTGCTAGGGGGCGCTGTGCTGCGGGGAGAGGGGCGGGGGCAGCAGGGGGCGCTCTCCCCTGGCAGGCAGGGCTGGCCCCATGGCGGTGCTAGGGGCGCTGTACTGCGGGGAGCGGGCAGCAGGGGCGCTCTCCCTGGCAGGCAGTGCTGGCCCCATGGCGGTGCTAGGGGGCACTGTGCTGCGGGGAGTGGGCAGCAGGGGCGCTCTCCCCTGGCAGGCAGGGCTGGCCCCATGGCGGTGCTAGGGGGCGCTGTGCTGCGGGGAGCGGGCAGCAGGGGGCGCTCTCCCCTGGCAGGCAGGGCTGGCCCCATGGCGGTGCTAGGGGGCCCTGTGCTGCGGGGAGTGGGCAGCAGGGGGCGCTCTCCCCTGGCAGGCAGGGCTGGCCCCATGGCGGTGCTAGGGGGTGCTGTGCTGCGGGGAGCGGGCAGCAGGGGGCGCTCTCCCCTGGCTAGCAGGGCTGGCCCCATGGCGGTGCTAGGGGGCGCTGTGCTGCGGGGAGAGGGGCGGGGGCAGCAGGGGGCGCTCTCCCCTGGCAGGCAGGGCTGGCCCCATGGTGGTGCTAGGGGGCGCTGTACTGCGGGGAGCGGGCAGCAGGGGGCGCTCTCCCCTGGCAGGCAGGGCTGGCCCCATGGCGGTGCTAGGGGGCGCTGTGCTGCACGGAGCGGGCAGCAGGGGGCGCTCTCCCTCAGCAATTTGTCCTGAATTGATCCTCTCAGTTGTGTCCGCCAGAGGCAGCGTCCTTACACCCTCCAGGATTATGTGGCCGGGGTCGATGTTAATGGAAGTGCCAATGGTCTCGCTGATCCTTTATCACAGAAAGGGGGCCCTGAACATCCCCAGGTCACTGGCTGAAGTGGCTCCCACATAGTTCAGTCTCGAAGGGGGAAGAGATGTGATGGAGTGGGAGTTTTTCATAATATTTTGTATGACGACTCTGTGTCTGATGAAGTGGGCTGTAGCTCACAAAAGCTTATGCTCAAATAAATTTGTTAGTCTCTAAGGTGCCACAAGTCCTCCCGTTCTTTTTGTGTGTGCATCAGTTTCCCATTGTGATGAAGCGGGACTGTTCTTAACGTTTCCTCTGAATAGTGTGGGGGGTGCCTCAGTTTCCCCTAGGCAGTTCTTAAGTATCTAGGGGGTGGGGTAAGGGTGTATGATCATTGCAGAGCCCTAGAGGGCAGGTGTGTGCAGGGGTCTGGACACAGAGAATGGCCGACACCCTCTTTCCTGGCACCTGATGGCCTGGGCCCTTCCCCCCTGCAAGGTGAGAGCTAAAGGGTTGGAGAACAAAGGAATCCGGTGACCTCCTGGCCTGGGAAAGGGACAAAGCCCAGGGGAGGAGGGGCTGGAGGGAGTTTCAGTTTGGGGCTGGCTGGGACATGGAGTGAAGGGCAGATGTGGTTGTGTGGCTCACTGCCCCCCAAAATGGACCCAGCTGAGGGGTCCTGTTCTCTGCACCTACAAGCTCTGTTTTAGACCATGTTCCTGTCGTCTAATAAACCTTCTGTTTTACTGGCTGGCTGAGAGTCACGTCTGACTGCGGAGTTGGGGGGCAGGACCCTCTGGCTTCCCCAGGACCCCGCCTGGGCGGACTCGCTGGGGGAAGCGCACAGAAGAGCAGAGGATGCTGAATGCTCCGAGGTCAGACCCAGGAAGGTGGAAGCCAGGTGAGCTGTGTGTCCTGCAGACAGGCTGCTCCCAGAGAGGAGACTCCCCCAGAGTCCTGCCTGGCTTCATGGGGAGCAGTTCCAGAGCATCGCCCGGGGACTCCGTAACAACTGGTGGTAGAGGTGGGATCTATTGCACTCAGTGGATGGCGCTTCCTGCAGTAAGTGACGGGGGAGCAGTAAACCGAAGGGGGATTGACGAAGACCAGGCGTGCTGAAGGCTCAGGGGAGCAGTTTCGGGGGGCGGTTAACCCCTGGGAGTGTGTGACCAGCGAGAAGGACTGTGCAGTAATGGGGTCCCCCTGGGGACTGCGGTGAGTAGTCTCAGGGGCGGAGGAGTCTGCAGCTCGACCCTGGCAAAGAGGTGGTGACCTCGAGAAGGGCTGGCACGCTAGGGGTTCTCCCTGGAGACCCTGGGAAGCTGAGAGCACACAGGCCTGTGAGTCCACAGCAACCTGGGAAGAGCGGAGTGATGGCCTGTCACCGTCTGCTGAAGAAGGACATTGTAACCCTGTGCAGAAA